GGGTGTGGTGGTGGATGCCTGTAATCCCAGCTACTCAGGAGGCTGAGGCAGGAAAATCTCTTGGACCCGGGAGATGGAGGCTGCAGTGAGCCGAGATCACGCCACTGTACTCCAACCTGAGCAACAGAGCAAGACTCCATCTCAAAAGAAAAAAAAAATACCTTCAGGCTATGTGTATAATGTATAAAACATAAATGGACTTTATATTTAGACTTGGTCCCATACCCAAGATACCTCATTATGTATACGAAATATTGCAAAGTTGGGAAAAAACTTGAAATCCAAAGCACTTCTTGTCCCAAGCATTTCAGAAAAAAGATACTCCACCTGTATATTAACATGGGCTAGTATGTGGATATCAGAGGCAATCAGAGCAAGCAACAGAATGAGGGCTTATGATGGTTAAGTGGTGGAGGAAACCGTGCATGTGGATAAGATACTTGTGTTCCAGTTCTGAACCAAGTGATACCTGACGCTTACAGCATTGTTAAGAGGGCATATATTTTGGACGATGTTTGGAGTGAAACTTGTAAACAACTTAATTTGTTGGGAATAATTATAAATGAATGTTAATCTGTTAATATGAATGGTTTGGATGTGACAAAAAGGAAAGAAAAATTAAAATTCCATTGCACTCTCTCTCTTTTTTTTTTTTGAGTCAGAGTCTCGCTCTGTTGCCCAGGCTGGAGTGGAGTGCAGTGGCACGATCTCAGCTCACTGCAACCTTCACCTTCCAGGTTCAAGTGATTCTCCTGCCTCAGCTACTCAAGTAGCTGGAACTACAGGTGCACACCACCATCCCTGGCTAATTTTTTTGTATTTTTAGTAGAGATGGTTTTCACCATGTTAGCCAGGATGGTCTCGATCTCCTGACCTCGTGATCTGCCTGCCTTGGCCTCCCAAAGTGGTGAGATTACAGGCGTAAGCCACCACACCTGGCCCCATTGCACTCTCAAATGAGGTTTTTTACCCCAAAGGCTTTTTGGGGAGGATTGGTGGTAGGTGGGAGCCTTCCCCTTTAAGGTCTTGAGTGGTGAAGGAAGGGTCTAGACTCTACGTGGGCAGGTTATTTGAATATGAAGGCATTCCCCTCTTGTGAGGGAGACAGGGAATTTGTGTGTGTGTGTTTTGGGGTGTGGAGGTGTGAAGCGATGGGGGAGTGAGGATAGGGAACAAGGTAAAACTAGGAGGGATAGGGAACAAGATGAAATTAGGGTTCATTTCTGCCTAAGTGCTTGTTCTTCAGCGAGCTCACTATTGAACCTTCATTCTGAATTTTGATGTGCTTTAGTGCTTAGGTTTGTAAAATTGCTGACCCTCTCTTCCCTTCCCACCCCAGGAAGCAGGAAGACCAGATATTTCTGACCAATAAAAATTCTACTTCTGTACCAAAAAAATGTCCTAGCAAGGGGATTCTGAGAGTATTAGCACCTCAATGAAAGTGACAGACAGAGCAGGGCGATGGATCAGCTTGGGGTTGGCAGTTGCCTTCCTGGTTATTTACTTAATGAATGGTTTATTTCCTTAGCCACCTGTTTAACGGGCCTGGGATGGACTTGTCAACTAACAAAGCCCCTGATGGACAGCTTCCCTGCTGTCCTGAGGCTGAGAAGATTTCTATCTGCAGACTCTTGCATAGACTCACTCTTGGCTGCTCTCCCTCCCTGGGGTCAAACAATGAGGTCTCAGTGGTGTATTCATAGTCAAAGCCACTTTATCCTCTGGAATCCAGAGTGTCCGCCACAGGGATGCTTTTGTAGGTGGCCCCTGTTCTCCCGCCTTCCCCCAACACATAGACACCTCTGGACGTAGGACCTGCTTTGCTAGAGTCTAGCTGCGCCCTCTCTAACTTCTCTTCTCCTCCCTCTTCCATTGATAAAAACAGATTTATCTCTCAGTCTTGCTTGTCATTCAGCGATAGCATCACTCATGTTGGTGAGACTCAGTAAGTGTTAGAATTAAATTCATCATCACAGTAATGCTGTGCATTAGGGAAGTCAAGATGCTTTCACTCTTACTCTATACATAAAGATCCTAGCTCTGGAATCTGCCGCAAGTTTTGAGAAATGAAGTATAAATTAAGAGGTCCCTCAAATTTCGTAAAATGGAACGGCACTGTGAAGCCTGGGCAGTCAGCTGTGGGTGTCCTGGTGACAGCTCTGAGCTTGTAACTCAGGCTGATCTTAAAGGCACAAAGAGAAATAGATCAGCCTCAGTGTATTAACCTTGTAACAAGTACCAGGCAGGAATGTGTTCAAGAGCTGCAGGGTTGTTCTGCCCTTAAATGTGGAAGGATCTCTTCAACAATCCATTTCCAGGAACAAAAGGGAAGGACAGCCTATAGGTTAAGATATTTAAGAGGCACAGCAATCATATACAACATGTAGACTCCGTTTGATTCCTAATTTGAATGGACTGACCAGGAAGTAATTAGACAAATATATGTGTGTGTATATAAGTACATATATGTTTCTATAAAGGAATAAGAGTTAATTGTTTAGGTATGACAGTGTGACAATGAGATTATGGTTATGCTTTTTTTGTTTTTTTTTTTTTTT